GGTGCTGTGGCTCAAGTGGTAGAGCGCTAGCCTTGAGCTGAAGAGCTGAGGGACAGTGCCCAGGCCCAGAGTTCAGGCCCCACGACCGACAAAAAAGAGGGAGACGGAGGGAGGGAGCGGGCGAGCCCGGCGGTGCGGACAGGCTCCGTCCACCAGGCCGGCGGCACCCGGCGGCGCTCGGACCCGGGAACGTCCGAGAACAAGGAGTCGCCGTGGCCAACTCACCACCTCCCCGTGCTCAGCGGACTTGTACACTCCCGACACCATCTCGTTGTGGAGCAGCAAAAACAACGCCTCGTCCGCCATGTCTTCCTGATGCGTCCGAGCTTTGGGTTCCGGCTCCCGTTTGGGCCGGCGATGGCTGGCGCTCGAGCAGCCCGGCCCGCCGCCCGGCTCCCGGTTGCTAGGACACCAAAGAAAGCTCCCGGGCTTCCCCCAAGCCGGTGCTCAGGGAGAGCCGGCCCCGAGGGCCACCGGTCCCCAGGGCCGCCGGTCCCCAGGGCCACCGCGCCCTAGGGGCGAAAGACGTCTGACAGCCGCACAGAGAACGGAGACTCCGGATCCGGCGGAGTAAAGGGGGGAGGGAAGCAGGAAAGGGGGGCCGGGGACGAGTGGCGTGCGGCCACTTCCGGTCCCCTCTACCCCGGCATTCCTCCAACTCTATGGTGGTGGGGTCGCTCTCCCAGCCCGCCTGCCCTGCCCTCCCTGACTCGCCCGCCTCGCTCTCCCTTCGGGAGCAAGAGCTCCTTGCGCAGGATAGAGTGGAGCTGACAGGATCCAGGGGAGATGGTAAATCTAGACGGGTCTCGTCTGACTTTCCTTGCCTTAAACCAGTTGGAAAAGCTGGATCCTGGTACAGCTCCAGAGGTGGAAGGCTTGCTTAGCGCGAACAGTCAGCTGGCCCGGATGCTCCCGGATTTCAAGTCGTGTTTCCCGCCATAGGTTCTTTCACATTAAAAGTTGTTAAGAGACAGGCTAAAATCATTCTGGCCGAGAACCGAGTCTCCTCCTGCCTGGGCCTCTCAACCACTGAAATATTTTTTTTTGGTCGGTCGTGGGGCTTGAACTCTGGGCCTAGGCGCTGTCCCTCAGATCTTCAGCTCAAGGCGAGCGCTCTACCACTTAAGCCACAGCGCCACTTCCAGCTTTTTCTGCTTATGTGGTGCTGAGGAATCAAACCCAGGGCTTCAGGCAAGCACTCTACCACTGAGCCACCTTCCCAGCCCTCAGGTATGTTGAGATAGCATACCAACCCATATTAGATTCACGTCCATCCCAGGGGACCAGCCTGAGGCAAGCGGAAAGATTATTATAAGGTTTATTAGAGGGGCCATATCTCCCAGAAGAGGGAGCACATGGCCCTGTCCCTTTCCAGGTAGCAGGAGGGGGGGGGGGGCAGAAATGAGGTAGGTGGGTACTCTCCTGGGTCTGGGCAGAGAAAGGGAGTGGCCAGCTGTAGGGCTGGAATTCCAGGATGGGGAGGAGCTCAGGTATGGGTGGAGCTGAGGACTAAAGGTGGGCCTAATGCTAACAGATTCATTTTTTTATTGTTATTATAAAGGTGGTAACGGGAGTTACACTTACATAAGTCAGGTAGAATACATTTCTTTTTGGATCCCATCCCCACCCATAAGTTGTACAGTTCATTTTCAATATAGTGCCTAGTGACTACCACTGCTGCATTTGTTCACCCTTTGTCCCTCTGTAGCTGTGATACTCCTTACACTCCCCAAAACAGATAAATGAACAAACATGACAAAAAGAAAAGAAAAAAAAAAAGCAACAACAAAGTAAAAAAAACCTCGTTTCCATTTCCTGGAGTTAATTTTTTTAATATTATTTTATATGATCAGGCATTGTGCCTTTGTGTTCTTCTCCTGAGACTATCCTCCTTTGGTCTCACTGTGTGTGAATGCCGAGAGTCCTGTGTGATTTGTCATGTCTCAGTGTATTTTAGATCTAGCTTCCACATATCAGAAAAACTGTGGGCCATTTTTCTCAATTTATTCTAGATCCATCCATTTCCCTGCAAAAGACATGATATTATTCTTTCTAATGTATGTGTAAAATGCTAATATATATACACATACCACATTTTTTAATCCATTCATGTATTGTAGTGCATCCAAGCTATTAAGACCAGGGGTGCAAAAAGACTGAGAGCCATTTAGAAGTTTACTGGTAGGTGGAACAAAGAACAAAGGAGAACAGAGTAAGCAATAAAATAAAATACTTTAACAAGAAAATATAAACTTGGGCTGGGAAGGTGGCTCAGTGGTAGAGCACTTGCCTTGCATACTCGAGGCCCTGGGTTCGATTCCTCAGCACCACATAAGCAAAAAGCCGGTAGTGGCGCTGTGGCTCAAGTGGTAGAGTGCTAGCCTTGAGCTGAAGAGCTGAGGGACAGCGCCCAGGCCCAGAGTTCAGGCCCCACAACCGGACCCAAAAAAAAGAAAAGAAAATATGAACTAATCAGAGAATTACATGAATGGAAAGTTGATAAGGAATTGGAAGGGAGTTGTCATTGTTAGGAAAATGGAGAACAGAAAAGGAATAGGCCAGACTCAACAGGCGAAGATTGTTTATTGAAGAACAGCGAGAGGCACAGACTTTCCCAGGGGTTTGGAGGTTGTGCCCTAAGGAGTGGGTTTTTATATGAGGTCTGAGCAAGGAGACAGAGGTTAATGAAAAAGCTACTAGGTCAAGGAAGGTGGGGGCCTTTCAGTTGGGCCCACAATGGGATGTTTACAGCTGGGCTTAGGTAGGTTGCCCTACCTGCATGTCAAACTAGTTTACACATACGTGGGATTGTGCCTGGTGTCAGTATGGGCCTGGGACAATAGGATGGGGGTCAATCCTTCAGTCACTATGAGAGTAATTCTTTTTTTTTTTTTTTTGGTCAGTCATGGGGCTTGAACTCTGGGCCTGAGTGCTGTCCCTCAGCTCTTCAGCTCAAGGCTAGTGCTCTACCACTTGAGCTACAGCGCCACTTCCGGTCTTCTGGTGGTTTATTGGAGATAGGAGTTTCACGGACTTTCCTGCCCAGGCTCACTTTGAACCACGATCCTCAGATCTCAGCCTCCTGGGTAGCTAGGATTACAGGCATGAGCCACTGCTGCCCAGCCGAGAGTAATTCTTAAGAATCTATTACAGCTGGGAAGGTGGGAAGGTGTCTCAGTGGTAGAGCGCTTGCCTTGCATGCATGAGGCCCTGGGCTCAATTCCTCAGCACCACATATGCAGGAAAAAAAAAAAGCCGAAAGTGGTCCTGTGGCTCTAGTGGTAGAGTGCTATCCTTGAGGTGAAGAGCTGAGGGACAGTGCCCAGGCCCAGAGCAGGCCCACAACTGGAGAAAAAAAAAATCTATTACAGATATGAGACAACTCCTACAGAGAGGCAAATATACAAGTTATAAATTACATTTTTTTAAACATTTAGTTTTGTTTAGAGCTAAAGATCAGGGCTTCATGAACATTAGGCAAATGTTCTACCACTAAAATACCCAACTCGGCCAGGTGCTGGTGGCTCACGCCTGTAATCCTAGCTACTCAGGAGGCTGAGATCTGAGGATCGCAGTTCAAAGCCAGCCCGGGCAGGAGAGACCCTGAGACTTCTATCTCCAATAAACCACCAGAAAACCGGAAGTGGCGCTGTAGCTCAAGTGGTAGAGCGCTCTCATTGAGCTGAAGAGCTGAGGGACAGCGCCCAGGCCCAGAGTTCAAGTCCCACGGCCGACCAAAAAAAATAAATAAGATAAAATAAAATACCCAACTCTATGGGCTGGGAAGGTAGCTCCGTGGAAGAGTGCTTGCCTTGCATGCCAGAGGCCCTGGATTCAATTCCTCAGCACCACATAAGCAAAAAAGAAAAAAAGCCGGAAGTGCCACTGTGGCTCAAGTGGTAGAGCGCTAGCCTTGAGCTGAAGAGCTGAGGGACAGCGCCCAGGCCCAGAGTTCAGGCCCACGACTGGACCCCCCTGCCCCCCCAAAAAAATACCCAACTCTAATGTTTTGTGTATGTGTGTGTGTGTGTGTGTGTGTGTGTGTGTGTGTGTGTGTGTGTGTGTATGGCTATCTTGGAGCTTGAACTCAGAGCCTGGGCACTGTCTCTGAACCTCTTTTCTTCAAAGCTAATGCTCTACCACTTGAGTCACAGCTCCCCATCTTTTGCTTATTTTATTATTATTTGCGTGTGTGTGTGTGTGCATATGTGTGTGTGTGTATATGTGTGTGTGTGTGTGTGTGTGTGTGTGTAATTGGAGATAAGAGTCTCACAGACTTTCTTGACCAGGCTGGCTTCAAACTAAGATCCTCAGATCTCAGCCTCTTGAGTAGCTAGGATTACAGACTTGAGCCACAGGTGCAAGGACAATATTACACTTTAAATACATCAGACTTTATGGGGCTGGGAAGTTGGCTCAATGGTAGAGCACTTGCCTTGCATGCCTGGGGCCCTGGGTTCGATTCCTCAGCACCACATAAGCAAAAAGAAAAAAGCCAGAAGTGGCGCTTGGCTCTAGTGGTAGAGCGCTAGCCTTGAGCTGAAGAGCTGAGGGACAG